GCATGAATTAACTTTCCCGCTTGCCCTGCCAGCTGATCCTGCCCCTATACTTACAGCCTTGCTTCTTAGAGACTTCATTATGTGGCTGACTAAGCTCACACCTCAAGATGAATCTCTTCAATGCTCTCCTACAGATGAGCTACTTGCAGATTGTCTCCAGTGAAGTACCTGATGCTTATTAATCCTGAGCTCTCATTGCAGCTTTTCCCCATGTTTGAGGCACTTATTACATCTCCCCACACAGACCTCCACTCCCCCAGGCATCTGTTTTAAACAATTCTAAGAGACTCAGCTATCTCTGAAGCCTCTTGTGAAATCTGGGCAGCCCTTTCCAAAGTCATTGAACACACAAGGTCACGTTCAATGTACTGGTAACATCTATAACAGAAAGACCAAAAAGAGAAAGAGTAGATTGCAACCAGTGTGACCTAGTGTGCTCCTGTGGTCCAAGCTAAGAAGTTTCTCCAGCTAATTAAGAAACAAACCAAACCAAACAACCACCTTGCTCAGTGTGGATACTTGCCAATCCCCTTCTTTCTGAGAAAGCAAGTGTCCCTCTTTCCCACAGTGTTCTCTAGACTGCACCACTCTGTCTGTTTTATTTTCTGGCTCCACATGCCCAGGAAGCAGCTAAGCTACAGAACCAAAAGGAATCTTGCTCTTTGAAGAGCTCAGACATTTAATGCTGTTCAAGTTTACACCACACAGAACCAACAAGACCAAATGGCCACTATCTGTCACTGAACACGAGGCAGGAGCAGCTGCCTGGGATCCCTGCTCCTGTCTTAGGCTGACTCCTGATACAGTCAAGGGAAATGCCCACTGAGATGTGGGAAGCTTACAGAAGATACAAAAAAATTCCTTGAGATGTTTCACCTGGGTTTCATCAGTAATCATGGGATTCTGGGAAGGGCTCAAAGAACTTCACACAGCAGAGCATGGGCTAACATCATCCATCCTTTTCTCTCCAGCTAATTCATTCTCCATCATTATTGGCCCTTGTAGCCATCTTTCCACCTGATGAACCCCTGCAACTACACTTGCACCCCACCGTTACTTTAGACTGTTGTATCACATTCTGCTTTAAAAAGAAACACACAGGGAAAAGACAAAGAAGGCACACTAACTTTGTATTGCAGCACGGAAAGGGTTGGTTGATGTATGCTCTAACTGGCTTGGGCAACCATCAGAGCTTACGGCAACCAGAGGTGAGTTACCGTAACTGTACATCACTACAAACACTGCAGATCCAAAGGGATTAATCTGCTTGCCCTGCCCAGCAGGCTGCTCCATGCAGACTGTGTGTACAAAAGGGGGACAGAGTGAGGCAGGTGAGGTCCCTACCATGGAGAGCAGCCTGTTGATGGCCACGGCTCGCCGCTGGGCATCCATGTGGGGCATGTCATTCTGAATCACCTGGTCCGTGATTCCGTGAGGGAACTGGTGGCACAGCTCAATGATCCTGCCGAGGAGGAGAAAAACAAGTTTAGTCATGTTCTATTGCATCCAAACCCAAATCCAGTAAGTGTCAGAGTCACGATGCAAGAGAGTGACAACAACAGCTCAGGGGAAAATTATCCATCAGCTGCCCCTTGGCTCCCCAGGGAGCTCAGCACCTACTCTCTGTGCTGACAAACACAAAGCTGCCCCAACTGCTGGACAAACCACCTCGGCTCTCGGTGACAACACTGAGCATGGGGCTTCATTTCACTCCTGTGCTGCTCTCATTAGTCACAGCACGGACCTAAAGCTCCCTGTGCATTTCACTATAGCCAATGTGCCACTGGGAAGGATTTGCTAGCGAGTCTGAGAATGCAAAGAGTGAAATATCTTCTAGAAGAAAAATAAATTACTTAATGCAAGAACAGCCACAATTCCTCTCTCCAAGTCCCCTTTCCACGACCAGAAAAACTCTGGGGCAGCCCAAACTAACTTGTCTCCATCGCCCACTGCCACCTAAA